CCAAGTTGCCCTCGGCCAGAATGTTATAGATCTTGTGGGAGCAGTACACCTGATGAGTTTCCTACAGATATTCCAGGGACCAAAGGGAACTTCAAATTAGTCAGACATGTGTCCTTTGTTGACTGTCCTGGCCACAATATTTTGATGGCTACTGTGCTGAGTGGTGCAGTGGTGATGGATGCAGCTCTTCTGTTGATAGCTGGCAATGAATCTTGCCCTCAGCCTCAGACATCTGAACACCTAGCTGCTATAGAAATCATGAAACTGAAGCATTTTTTGATTCTACAAAATAAAATTGATTTGGTAAAAGAAAATCAGGCTAAAGAACAATATGAGCAGATCCTTGTTTTTGTCCAAGGTACAGTAGCAGAGGGAGCTCCCATTATTCCAATTTCGGTTCAGCTGAAATACAATATTGAAGTTGTTTGTGAGTACATAGTAAAGAAAATTCCAGTACCCCCAAGAGACTTTACTTCAGAGCCCTGCCTTATTGTTATTAGATCTTTTGATGTCAACAGACCTGGCTGTGAAGTTGGTGACCTTAAGGGGGTTGAAGCTGGTGGTAGTATCCTAAAAGGAGTATTAAATGTGGGCCAGGAGATAGAAGTAAGACCTGGTATTGTTTCCAAGGATAGTGAAGGAAAACTTACGTGTAAACCAATCTTTTCCAAAATTGTATCACTTTTTGCGGAGCATAATGATCTGCAATATGCTGCTCCAGGCGGTCTTATTGGAGTTGGAACAAAAATTGACCCCGCTTTGTGCGGGACTGACAGAATGGTGGGGCAGGTACTTGGTGCAGTCGGAGCCTTACCTGAGATATTCGCAGAATTGGAAATTTCCTATTTCCTGCTTAGACGGCTTCTAGGTGTAGGCACTGAAGGAGACAAGAAGGCAGCAAAGGTGCAAAAGCTGTCTAAGAATGAAGTGCTCATGGTGAACATAGGGTCCCTGTCGACAGGAGGAAGAGTTAGTGCTGTAAAGGCCAATTTGGGTAAAATTGTTTTGACCAATCCAGTGTGCACAGAGGTAGGAGAAAAAATTGCCCTTAGCCGAAGCGTTGAAAAACACTGGCGTTTAATTGGTTGGGGTCAGATAAGAAGAGGAGTGACAATCAAGCCAACAGTAGATGACTGACGAACACCAGTTAAATAATACATTTGGATGGAGTTGGAAGTTGCAATTTCTCTTAACAACCAAGGAGTTTATTTTCAAAGCAATATTGGAGAATTTATTTACAGTTTATCTACCTTAGTAGATAGCTATAAGATTATTCTCATGTTTTTGATTATGAAAACTTAACTTAGGGACTGAAATTAATATAAAAGTTGGCATAATGTTGAATTGAATCTATATTTTGACAGAAGCATTCCCATATAATGTCACAATTATATATCATGCAGTTTTGTTCTGCATGTCTTGTTTTGTTTTGTTTTGTTTTGTTTTGGAGTCTGGCTTTGTCACCAAGGATGGAGGGCAGTGGCCTGATCTGCAACCTCTGCCTTCCGGGTTCAGGCAGTTCTGCTTCGGCCTTCGAAGTGGCTGGGATTGCAGGTGTGTACTACCACACCTAGCTAATTTTTGTATTTTGGGGAGAGGAGGGGTTTTGACTTGTTGGCCAGGCTGGTCTCTCCTGACCTCAGGGTGATCACCCTGCCTCAGACTCCCAAAGTGCTAGGATTACAGGTGTGAGCCACCTTGCCCTGCCCGTATCATACAGTTTGAAATGACTTTTTGCTACTACCAGCCTTTGCTGTAGCACACACACACATATACATACCAATGAACCTGTCTGAAATAAAGTTTCATTTTCATGAAAACAAAAACCAAAAAACTGAAGAGTCAGCCAGGAGAGGTGGCTCATGCCTGTAATCCCAACACTTTGGGAGGCCGAGGTGGGCAGATCACCTGAGGTCAGGCATTCAAGACCAGCCTGACCAATATGGTGAAACCCTACCTCTACAAAAATACAAAAATTAGCGGGGTATGATGGTGGGTGCCTGTAATCCTAGCTACTTGGGAGTCTGAGGCAGGAGAATCGCTTGAACTCAGGAGGCAGGGGTTGTAGTGAGCTGAGATCATGCCATTGCACTCCAGCATGGGCGACAGAGAGAGATTCTGTCTCAAAACAAACAAACAAAAAACCTGAAGAGTTACTGAATAGAAATCAATTCCCCTTCCCTTCAAGACAGATGTCAGGAAGCTCAGCCACAATGGCCAGGCAGCTCTAGTCCTGCCAGCTGCTCCTGCACTGCTAACTTTTGTGCCACTAGTGTGAGGTCTGCGCTGCTCAGAAGAGTCACTCCAGCCCTCCTGTCCAAGGCCTTTTCAAATTCTGTTCTACAGCTCTCTGGGTTTCAATGGGTTCTGTGGCTAGTTCTAAAGAAATAACCTATAGGCGTACATATGTGTGTGCGTCTGTGTGTGTGTGTTTGTGTGTATCTGAAATTACTGAGGGTTCTCATATTTTAACTCTGAGCCCATCATTTTGATGCAGTTCATTTCTGCCTCCTGTCTCCAGAGTAAACTCCCATATTTATCCTGTGGTAATGCATCTGTTTTTCAGTGTAAAGATTGTACCAGGGGCTGGATGCAGTGGCTCATGCCTGTAATCCCAGATCCCAGCATTTTGGGAGGCCAAGGTGGGTGGATTGCTTGAGGTCAAGAGTTTGAGACCAACCTGGCCAACATGGTGAAACCCCATGTCTAACAAAAATTAGCTGGGCATGGTGGTGGGCACCTGTAATCCCAGCTACTCAAGAGGCTGAGGCAGGAGAATCACTTGAACTTGGGAGGTAGAGGTTGCAGTGAGCTGAGATCACGTCACTGCACTCCAGCCTAAGTGAAAAAGAGAGACTCCATTAAAAAAAATAAATAAAAGGACTGTACTAGGAAGAGAAAGGTACACATGGCGTTCTCCTGGGTAGAGTATTTGCAAACTTGATATTTCTGCTATTCACATAAGAAATATTAAAAGAGAAGAAAGACTGCCGCCACAGCCACCATCTCCAGAATTCATATTTACATACAGTTTACCATTATTGTCATTTCTTGGTGTTTCTTCCCAATAAGATCCCAGGATAAATTCTGATTATTAGTTGCTTTGTTTTATAAACAGTATTATACACTAAAAGATGGTGCTTAATAAAGCTGCCAGTGGTGCCCTGGCATATGTGCAGTTTGAGGTCAAGGCCTCATGTTAGGAGAGGTGACACGCGGTGGATAAAGGTTTTGCAGAAATTACCTTTAAATGAACTCCTCAGGATGCATTGTCACCTAAAAAAGAAAAAGGTTTTAAGGAGATGGACCAAAAAATGGCTAAGCTTAGATGGTTGAGAATCATCTGAAAAATTTAGAACATTTGCTCAGGCTGGAGAGGGTGTCCCAGGGGTAAATGTGTAGGAACTGGAAGAACAGGGTAGAGCCACTAAATAGATAAGAAGACTGGGTAGGGCGTGGTGGCTCATGCCTGTAATCCCAGTGCTTTGGGAGGCCGAGGCGGGCAGATCACTTGAGGTTAGGGGTTCAAGAGCAGCCTGAGCAACATGGTGAGACCCTGTCTCTATTGAAAATACAAAAATTAGCGAGGAATGAGTGTGCGTACTTGCAAACCCAGCTACTTGGGAGGCTGAGGCAGGAGAATCGCTTGATTTCAGGAGCCAGAGGCTACATTGAGCCAAGATAGCACCACTGCACTCTAGCCTGGGCAAAAGAGTGAGACTCTGTCTCAAATAAATAAATAAATAATAAAATGTTAAAAATAAAATAAAATAAATAGGTGGGAGGACAAATTTTGAGAGACATCTGAATTCTATTTCAGTTGACCATGCTAAAAGTTCCTTAAATTTTAATTTTGATTAAATGTGTTTAACATCCAAATAATGCTATGTACTGTTCACATGGCAGAGTACCACACAGCTGTAAAAAAGAATGAGGAATATATGGAGTAATCTTTAGACTTTATGGCTAGCGAAAACAAAATAAGGTAGAAAAAAATTGTCTGTAGTATGCTACTATTTATGTAAAAAGAGAGAGTTTGATCTATGGAAATTATTGCTTATTTTTAAATGAAAGAATATGCCATAAAACTTTATTTCTTAAAAAAGATTTTGTTGGGAAGTAGATAGGGTAGAGGGAGTGGGATAGAAGTCACACTCCTCTGAATATGCCTGATGTTGTAGATTTGACTTTGGAAACTTGTGATCATTTTACATAATTATAAAATATTTTTTAATTCAAAAGCAATCCCTATAAAACAAAATCAAAATGAAAGAAATGAACTGAAATGTACACTATGAGTTGGCAGAATACCCACACAGGAAGGAACTACTTCAAGTGACTTTAATTTGATTTTCATTATTATGATATGCCCTAAAACCAAAAAGAACTAGATAACAACCTTAAATGTATTTCAACAGTCATATTGCTGGTGGTAGTGTTAGAACAGTTATTGCAGGACAATTGCATGGTTTTTTTTTGTGAAATAAAGCAAATCAGTAATTTTATTGATGTCTTTGGGATTTTTGATAAGGGAGAAAAGAATATAAATGTGAGATTGACGAGGTTCAAAAAACATCTCATAGTCTTGCTTGAAAATGTCATATGGGCTGGGCATGGTGGCTCATGTCTGAAATCTCAGCAATTTGGGATGCCAAGGCAGGAGGATCACTTGAGGCCAGAGGTTTGAGACCAGCCTGGTCAACATAGCAAGACCCTGTAAATAAAATACACAAATAAAAAAAATTAGTTAGATATGGTGGTGTGTGCCTATAATCACAGCTACTCAGGAGGCTGAGGCAGGAGGATCACTTCAACCCAGGAGTTCAAGGCTGCAGTGGGCTATGATCATGTCACTGCACTCCAGCATGACTGACAAACTGAGACCCTGTTTCAAAAAAAAAAAAAAAAAAAAAAAGGAAAGAAAGAAACAAAAAAAATGTCACATGAACTCACTATATATATATAATTTTTTATTTTTTTTATTTTTTAAAAATAAAAACCAGGGGAAAGCACGAATGCAGTCCCCCATTACCACAAATTATGCAGTTGAGTTTCCCACATTTGGGAAAATTGGAGGGGCCAGCACACCTGGAGTGCAATGGATAAGCCTCTCCCTGGGAAAACCACTTTGTGATTACGCTATCTCCCCTGCCAGGGGAGAAAATACAATATATTTTCAAAGAGAAAGAAGAAGAGGAAGAAGAGGGGAGGAAGGAGAACTTCCTAATTCGTTCTACTAAAAAGCCCTAGAAGTTATGATCAATCCAATAGACTGACCAACCTGGATCCCAGAGTCTGGTCTCTAAATTTCATTTCCCATTGAAAGGAACCAGCACTCTTGGAGAAATGGTCAATTCCTGATCTGCGGCAGAAAATACATGAGTTCAATGTGGAATATAAGAGATCTTGTCATATTAGAAATCAAGGAAATTACTAGGATCATGTCAAAAAGTCTTGGAAGCCAAGTCTTTTTGGCTGAATAAACTTCCACTGGCCAAAGATGACACAAGTTGAATACTAATAAAAATAATAATGGCAATGGATTGAAACACATCACATATTTTTAAATTCATGAGATTGTCATAGTACTTAAAAAGAAACAAAACAGCTCATGGGTCTTCTTAGGCAGATGCTTGGGAACCAACTCGTTGTTTTGAATTTCATAAATAATGAAGCTTTTATCTTACATTTTCTGTACTTCAGGATAATCAAATCATTGATAAGGGGTTATTTCTCTTTATAGAAGTATTCCAGCGAATAATTAAAAGAGCAACGAGAGAATTAGAAGATCACCCAATGAGAGAATTACAGGATCACAATTGCAAATGAATTAACAGATCTAAACGCTTATCATCAGTGGCTGCTGATGTCTGACGTCACAGTCTCCCACTATTTCCCTCCTGGTGAGAAATACAGAACACCAACCACAAAACATTCCTTCCCAAAGAATCAAACATAAACAGTATACAGGAACTATAGGGCAAAGGTGAACTTGTTAAATATACCATGACAATACAATTTTTTTAAATCCAGATTAGGAAATTCTACAGGACAAATAACACAGCACCTTCAGCAAATAAAGAAACATGTCTAACCATGGCAATGTGTGGACACTACATCCTGATTTGAGCAAGGCAAAATAAAACATTGATGACACAAATAGGAAAATTTAAATAATGACCAGATATTAGAGAATCAATATTAATTTCTTAAGTGTGATAAAGATATAGTGGGTATATTTTCAAAATGCTCTTATGTTTTGGAGATGCATACCAATGTATTTATGGACTCAGTGATATGATGTCAGGTATTTATTGCACAAGACTGGAGGAATGGGTGGGAAGCAGATGGGAGAATAGATGACATAAGAGTAGATATAAAACTGATACTTGTAGAAACTTGGTGAGGTGTTCATGATATTATTCTTCCTACATTTTAGTGTTTGAAATTTTCTTTAATAAAAGGGCTTTTTAAAGTGCACTGTACCACTCTTCTGAGATAAACCAAGCAAAGCTGGGAGTAGGGATGCCTCTTTCATGCAACTAAAAAGCACAATGATCAAAAACAATCAGGCAGTCATAGACTTGAGGGACATCTTCAAGATTATCCAGCTCCGTTCCCTCTTCTGATGCATGAACCACCTCTACACCATCCCTAAAGGTCATTGCCATATTCTGCAGGATTGCCTTCAGCCCGTTCCTCTTTTGATAGGTTTGCCTCTAAGGAATTTCTTTCTTTTTTTTCTCCCTTCCCTTAAAAAAAAAATGGCTCCCCCCCACCCCCATCCCCGTTTTGAGACAAGGTCTTGCTGTGTCGTCCGGGCTGGAGTGCACTGGTGATTTCAGTTTACTTCAACCTCTGCCTTCCAGGTTCAAGTGATTCTCTTGCCTTAGTCTCCCAACTAGCTGGGACTACAGGTGTGCGCCACTATTTCCAGCTAATTATTTTTATTTATTTATTTATTTCTGGTAGAGGTGGGGTCTCACCATGTTGCCCAGGCTGGTCTTGAACTCCTGAGCTCAAGCAATCTGCCTACCTTGGCCTCCCAAAGTGCTAAGATTACAGGCATGAGCCACCATGCCTAGCCAGAAATGTCTTTCTCATATTGAACAGAAACCTGTCTCCTTGTATTTTCTACCCACCAATGGGAGCCCTAATCCTTCCTTACACAACAGCCTCTCAAAATTTGAAAACAAGCTCTCCCCTGTCCTTCTCAGCCTCACCACTCACGCAAGCGTCTTGAGCTCCAGCCTGCACAGTGCCGCTCCTCCTTGTTGTTTCACACACTCATGACTTTGGTTCTCTGCCATCCTCTGCTCTGATCTCAGGAAACTAGGACTTAATAAGTTAAGTGCTCTGGAAATAAAGGATGTGGGTGTGTCCTGACAAACACAGACAACCTCAGGGTTATCACCTTCCTTCTACCAAAGACCACATTTCTGGTTACGATGGTACAGAGCCCAAGTGCACAAATTTGCAAGAGCTGATAACTAAATGTCCAAGAATTTTCTGAGCCAGTTGTCAAATGCGGTCCTAATGAAAAGTTAAATTAGGCTGGGCATGGTGGCTCACATCTGTAATCTCAGCCCTCTGAAAGGGCAAGACCTAAAGGGTGAATTGAGCCTAGGAATTCAAGAGTAGTCTGGGCAATGTAGTGAGACCCTGTTTCTACAAAAAATTTTTTAAAGTATTAGCCAACCATGGTGGGCACATGTGTGGTCTCAGCTATTCAAGAGGCTGAGGTGGGAGAAGGTCTTGAGCCTGGAAGATTGAGGCTGCAGTGAGCTGAGATCACTCCACTATACTCCACCCTGGGTAGCAGAGCAAAAGACCTTGTCTCAAAAAATAATCATCATAATTTTTAAAATTAAAGTTAAAGTACATAAGCTTACAATTAGATATACTAAAAGCAAAGGTAATAAGTAATTAAAATATTACTTCCTAATAATTTTATTGCTTTTTATTATCTCTCCTCTTGAGACTAATCACATCTGCTGCACCTGTGTGGTGGAAATACCACATAAGGACAGGCTATTGCACATCTCTTCCAAACTCTGAGTTCAGTGCCACAAAGTCAGTCCTTGAAATTGGCTAAGGTGAGAGTATTTACACTACAGAGATTGGTCAGAGCTATAAATCAAGGTCACTCCCTCTCTACCCTCAACCTAGAGCCAGTTGTTATTAAATATTTGCCACACCACTGGATATAACTTAAAATCTTACTTTTTTTGGCAACCACATTACACTTCTGGCTCATCTTGAATTAAGGCTCTTAGTTACCACTTAAGCAAATATTACTTATTTTCACTAATATATTTAATTCCTTAGGCCTTATATTAATCACTCTTAAATTTCATCCTTTTAGATTCAACCTATTGATTTTTGTTCTGCCATTCGCGTATCCATCATACCCCTTAACTTCAGGTTGCCTGTAAATTTGATGGACATACCTTCTGTATATTTATTCTGAAAGCACTTATGAGGAGACAGTGAAGGACATAGCCTGGACTCACCACTGCATGCTTCTTCATAGTTTGTTCGCCAGCACCTGTGCATACGATTGACTGGTTACTAATTCATTCAGCATGCCAGCATTCCGTTTATGTTTCTGCATCCTGTCCAAAAGAATATTATGAAAAAAAACTTTATTAAATGTCTAACTGATGACAAACCATACTATATGTATGGGCATTCCCTGAGGTCCTGGGCTGGTAACTCTATCAAAGAGAAGAGAGAAATCAGCCCTGACTTGTTCTTAGTGAACTAATCTATATCTTAATCATTTCTTCTTAACCTAGTGCCTGAAACTGCTCCTTTAGTAACCCTGCTTCTAGACTTGGCCTGAGATTGAGGTTACAGATCATTATCTACATTTTTTCTGGCTCTGCTTTCTCTTTCTGAAAATCAGAATATTCCACTGTTACCAGTCTTTTGAAATCTCTCCTATTCTCTATGATGCCCCCAAAATCCCTGACAATTATTTAGTGGTCCCACAGCAATGTTTTCTCAGGACCCTAAGACATCATTCTTCAAAACTGGGGACTTGAAATTGCTTGGAGCCACTTTGGGCTTGTTCATACTCTATTATTTCATCTTGGGCTTCTATCTACCCTTATGAAAGTTTAAGCACTTTCTCTATTTCTCCTCACCTTACTCATTTCATGTGGAGAAAAAGTGTCCTTGTCCCAAAACTCAGAAGCAGAAGAGGATTGAAGGTCTCTGTTTCTCTATGTCTCCCATTGACAGTGGCCCTACATTTCACTTGATGGCTTTGTTCTTCTTGTTTTGCTATGTTGCCCAGGCTGGAGTGCAGTGGCACAAACATGGCTGACTACAGCCTCAACCTCCTGGTTTCAAGTAAACCGCCCACTGGAGCCTCCTGCATAGCTGAGACTACAAGGTGCACAGCACCCCATCACGCCTGGCTAATTTTTGGTTTTTGGGTTTTTTTTTTTTTTTCTGTATATTTTGTAGAGATGGGATCTCACCATGTTGCTCAGGCTGCTCAGGCTGGTCTTACAGGCATGAGCCACTGCACTTGGCCATACTTGATGTCTCTTCTCAAACTTCACTACAAAGACTATAACAACCAAATTATATCCATCACATAATCTGTTAATTTCAGAATAATGTGAACTTATTTGGAGCTTTAGCCTTTTGGAGCAACTGTGCCCCATGTGTATTCTGGCAGAGGTAATGGCAATTGATGGTTATCTATTTGATGCCTTTCATGAGTTGTGACATAGCATCCTTGTTTGAATTTGCAACAAGCTCCCTACTTTCTAAAGTGAAACTTGGTCTTAAGTTTTTCAAGTAACTAGGTTGAGAGTTTTTCATCTTAAAATTTTTGAGGAAAACTGTAAATACTTCTGAGATCACAAATCACAATCAAGGAGATCCACAAATATGAAATAATTCAGTATATTTAGGAGCTTTTCTCTTTAATTTTACTTAGCTGATCTTTAACACAAAAACAACTTCTTAAAACCATCAATTCTTGTTATGCAGCATTCTCTTACCTGGAACTCTCTAAGGTGCCCTTATGCATAGTTCCAAAAAAATGCAAACAATGTTTATGGGTTTTCACCCAGGGCCCCTGAACTAAGAGACATGAAATCTAGATTCACCACCACTTAGTTCTGCTATGGCCAGCTGTGCAATCT